AGGGGAGGGGCGAAGCGGGGCGGCTGCGGCTCACGACAACAACCAGCGCCGCTGCGGGGCGGGCAGGAGCCGGGGGCTGGGCTGGCCACGCGCGGGGCACCACGGGAGCAGGAGTCCGGGCTGGACGCCCGTCACCTTCAGACCACACCTGGAAAGCAGACCCCGCGTCGCGGCCTGAGAGCGGGAGGCGCAAGGGCCTCTGGGAAATGTAGTCCAGACGGCCTTGCTCCTTCCGCCCACAGCTAGGGCGCGAGAACTGGGACTACGGGGTCAGCCACAGAGATCAGGAGAGCCAGTTCCTGGTCTCGAGGAGGTGTGGTCCCCGGTTCAGACTCCTCCCATTGTTCTAGTCGGAACTAGCGGCCTGCATGGACTACCATTCCCAGGGTACCGCGGGCTTCGGACCCTGGGAACCCGACAGACACCGGCAAACGAAGTTAGCCACTGCGCTAGGCGTGGGCTGAGGAAAGGGCGGTGATATTGGCTTAGGCTCATTTCCAGGCGCAATTCCGTAGCCGCATTGCACGACGCGGAGGGGAGATGCTAGAAAGGCAGGTCCCCCGTCCCTTGCTCTCAGGGAGAGCAGACGGGTGACCGAAACCACGAGCTGAGCCTGGGCTCTCCTCCAGCCCTGCCGTACGCGAGCGGTGAACTGTTGTGGAACGCACCTGTCTTGGAGGCCTCACAGCCACCCTCCCCGTCCCCCAGGGTCTGGAGTGCCTTTGCGGCGGGCTACCTCGGGAATTATACTGAATCCCCAGAAATAAAATGTCTGACCCTCTGTTCAGTGGGCGAATGCCCAGCAGGGGCCGCTACAGGACAAGGGGCAAGGGTTGGACACCCCCCGCCACTGCCCACCCTCCCCCAACCCGCACAGACGAAAAGTCTGGACTCAGCCTGACTACAGAACACAGGAAACTCTTTATTATAGTGATGAAATTGATAGTCCACAGTTACTCTTCACTCCGGCCAACTTTAAATGTCTTTGACTCGGACTCGCCGCCAGCTGCCGAGACTTCTGCAACCCTCACTCATCCGGAGAGGGTTCGTGGTTCCTGTCCCGCAGCGCTTCTGTCAAATTAGCCTGGCAGCCCTAGAGACAGGCCGAGCCCGCCCGCCCGCCGTTCATTCTTGGGTTGGACGCTCGCAACACTCGGTCAGGTGGCAGAGGAGGAGGAGGTAGGATTCCCAGGAGAGATCGAGGCCCGAGTCGGCCTCGAGGAAGAGTAGAGGAAGGTGGAGCGTATGGTCCATCCAGGAGGCAGCTGGCTGGGCGAGTGGCCGCGCATGTGCGCCTGCATGGAAGCCAGGCTGGGGCAGCCAGCCCTGCACAGAGGGCAGCGATAGGGAGCAGCCCCATGTGTCCTCAGGTGCTTGGTCATGGCCGAGAAATCCCGGGAGCGCTGAGGACAGAGGCTACAGGAGAAGGGCTTCTCTCCTACAGGCGGAGGGGAGAGCCAGAGAAGGAAGAAATGGGCAAAAGTTGGCCAAGCTAGGGGTGCGTCGAGCCACGGGGCAAGGAGGAGCTGGCAGACCAGCGATGGGAACACAAATAGACAAATTCACACTGGGCAGGATGCCCATACCTGTGTGGACTCGGTAATGCGTCTCCATCTGATGCTTGAGTGAAAACCTCTTTCCACAGACAGAGCAAGAATAGGGCCGAGAGCGAGCAGGAGGGGGTAAAGGTGGGTGTTGGTGAGATGGGCAGCTCAGTGTGTGATCTTGACCCACACAGGTTGCCAGTGTGCCTGTGTGGACAGAGAAGTCAAAATGGCATGACCAGAATCCCTGAGGCTGAATCAATACATCCAGGCAAGAAATGGAGAGCTTTGGTGGGGCAGAGGCAGCAGTTCTCCTACCCTGCTTACCTGTGCGCCCTGGCCCAGACTCTTCTATCTCCCAAGGGCTGAGTTGTTCAGGGCCCTGGGGAAAGGATCCTGCAAGTAGAGTGAATTGGAGGCCCTGCTAAGGCTGGACTCCTGGAGCCCAGGCACTGTGCAGAGGCCCTGGACGGAATAAGGGGCTTACCTGGAGTGGGGCTGGAGGAGGCCAGCTGATTCTGACTCCAGAGACCTTTGGAGTGGCTCAAGGTCAGTGGGATCCTGGATGGAGAAGAATTACAGCCTTGGCGAAGCCTGAGAACCTAACCAACTCTGGCCTCTCTCCTGACCAGAATAGTTCGCTGTCTCCTTAACTCAGGAAATGTACAGAGATGTGGTACCCTTCCACCCTTTCCTGCTGCCTCTCCTGAGCTCCTCCCTCCCGCCTGGAGACCTTCCACTAAGCCCTCACTCACCTCTGGTCTTGAGGCCAGACCTGCCAGGCTGCAGTGATGGAGGTGCTAAGGGAGAAGGGAGTGCCAGAGCTGGGCGGCCACAGGAAAATGCTCCACAGGCTAGGTTGGCCCTCTCTACACCAAGGGGCCTCAGCCCACCAGGGCCTGGGAATGAGGCTGGTTAGGAGGGAACCTGGTGGGGAAAGGGGACCAGGGCACCCACGGAGACACTCCTCAGAGCGCTCAGGGCTCTCTATACCTCGTATGGCCTCTCCTTGCTTCCTTTCTGCTCCCCTGTGGCCCACAGGGGCTGGGCTGAGGGCCTCCTCTGATCTCATCTTCCTAGTTATCCCTGCCCTCTCAGGGCTCTCTCTGGCTGCTTTGCGCTTATTTAGCATCTCCTGTTCTCTCCCACTACTTCTAAAATCTTTCTCTGGCTTCTGTTTCTCTCCAGGACCCCCAAGTCCTCTCTCAGACTTCCTCCTGAGTTCCTCTGCCTCCTGGTGCCTCTTCAGTCCTGGTTCCAGCTCATCTTCACTCTTGTCCTTTTGAGCTCTCTTGCATGCCTCTTCCAGGGCCTGCACCCCCAAGGCTCTAGCTGCCTCTTCCAGGTTCCCCAGCTCCCCAGGCTGTAGCTCTACACTCTCTCCATACACAAAGGTTAGAAGCTGAGCAAAGGTAGAAGGGCTGATGCCTTCGACCAGAGCCCACCGGCCCCTGCAGCCCAGCCGTGGACTTGCGCCTGCTAGCACCAAGCTGTGAGCAGGGAACTCCAGGCCTCCTACAGTGATCAGGGTATCACAGAGTGCTGGCCGAAGCCTAGCAGCTAACTGCACCAACCTATCAGAGCCATAGGGGCTGATCAGTCTCATGGGGGTCTGGGGCATGGCTCCTGGCTAATCTACCCGTTTTCAGAAGAAAAGTCACAATGGGGGATCCATGGCAGAAAGGGGAGGAAGATACCGCAAATTCTCAGGCCTGTGGAGGGGAAGGGAGAAAGAGTGAGTCTCTGGTCTCAGATTGGAGCTGTGTGTCCTGAATGAGTCAAACTAAGTCAAAGGCAAGGTGTGGGGATATGGCAGTAGAAGAATCCATGCTGGGTCAGGTTTGGGGCCTAAGGAGCAAGAGCCAGGCAGTTAGCAGAGGTATCAAGTAGTGGGTTTAGCCAACTCAGGCTGCAAGATTTTTGCTTCCCCAGGCTCTTTTGCAGGGAAAACCCTCTGAGCAGCCTGGGCTTTTCCTCACTTCGCACAAAACCTGGCATTAATGGAGTAAGATGAAAGAGCTCATAAAGCTTGTGGGTCCCCCCATCCCCACCCCACTGTGAGCCCAGAAAGCCAGAGCAGGCAGCAAGACAAGTCACAGAGCAGGAGAGCAGGCTCTAGGGCGTCACTCTCCAAGGCTGACATGTCCAGAAGACATCCTCAGAGAAGGAGTTAGGAAGCCCAGAGATTCCTGTCCAGTGATGGAGAGCCACAGCACAAGTTTAGAGGCGGCTGTGATGCCCGTGGAACGGAGAGAAAGGAAAGGGAACCCTGAGGAGGGGAAGCTGTCTCCTCTCAGAATGAGCCTAACGCATGGTTTGATTCTGTTTTTATAAGCCAAAAGTGAAGACCAGCAAGTGCCCAACAAGTCAAGAGTTTAATCACCCACAAAACCATCACACGGGCCTCCCAGAATACTGGAGACGGAGATGGAGAAATAGCCCAAGTGTCTTGGCACCCAGCAGGCCTAGCCGTCCATTGCAGCCGCTCCATGAGTGAGGGGCCCTTGTAGGAGGGAGGGCTACTACTCGGACACCTTGGGGTGAGTGGTGCAAGGTGGCAGGGACGGACAGAAAGGTTGGAATGGAGGAAAGGCTTAGCTGCGGGGAGACAGTCACTCACCTCTGTAGCTGCCTCCTAGCACCGCATGCTCTCTACTGCTCTTGGGGCTCCCCTCCAGCTAGCTCCACCCCTGTCCTCAGTCATCCCAAGTATCAATCTGCCACAGTCCCCCAAAGGGGTGTGGCTTTATACCTTCTGTCTCTGCCTGAGACCTACAAGAGACTACCATCTCCTTCTGACAACCCGGACAGTTCCTCACTCTACCTCTACCTTATTAGACGTGAATCCGTGGGGCCAGGAACTTTGGACTAGTCTGAGTCTCAGCCTCATCTCTGCCATTTACTAGTTGGATCACCTTGGGCAAGTCATCTCTCTGAGCCTCAGTCACCTCATGCATCAAATATCAGTGATCTTTCCGAGGTGTGTGCGCAGGGGGAGATGAAGTGGCATTCATGAGGAAGTGGTCTGTGAGTTAGCACAACACTCGGCTGCTATTAGTTCTGTCTCCGAGGTGAGAGTCGCATGGAGGAGCTGGGGACCATTTCTGATACCTCATAGTATAAGGACAGAAACAGAATTTGAAGCACAGGGGAACCGAAGGCGGGACCTCGTCCCTCCCTCCCTGGCTTAGTACATTAAGCCCCTCTTACTCTGTGAGGCTGACCCTTGTTCCCTGGACCACAGCAAGGACTGGGTGTGTGTGACTCAGATCCTCCCAGCAGACTCTGAGGGGGGGCAACCCCAGGAAGCCTGTGGTGGTCTTCGAAGAGAAAAATCTCCTTTTCCTGGGCTGATGACAAATGACATTTCTCTGAAATCAAAACCAGGGGGCTTCTTTCACTTTCTGCTCAAGGGGTCAAGGTCCCTGGAGATTTCCGTCTCTTTTCACACTTTTAGACTCTCTCTCTCTCTCTCTCTCTCTCTCTCTCTCTCTCTCTCTCTCTCTCTCTCCCTCCCTCCCTCCCTCCCTC